TTTCCCAACACTGATACAGAATGTAAACAAACACAGGGTTGCAAGGAAAAAAAGTTGAACGAGCTCAAAGTTGGCTGGCGACCAACTTTGTTGAAAGCGATTAGTTGAAAGGCCGTTCGGACGAGGCGATTTTTGCTTTCAACTAAAAGTTGCCTGAAAAATCGCCTCGTGCGAAAGCCCTATAAGCAGCCGCCATTTAATTTGGCAAAGAAAAGATTGTCTGCATAACACTGACCTAAGCGATTATCGATTATCGATCCTATTGTGAGTGTCGATTAGTCGCTCAATTAGCGACAGTGAATAGTTTTTAATCACTTATCCTTCTACTGCTATTTCTGATTCGATAGAGTTTGAGTGAACAAAATTTTTGTGATATTAATAAATTTTCGTGATATTAATAAAGAAATAATGGATAAAAAGTAAGTTATTTGCATCTTAAGCTGTACAAAAAATTTACTATACGTATGTGTGTGAATTGCAGATCGAAAGTGGTTAGCAATAAGAAGCAACTTGGCCGGCTGGTCCAGCTGATGCAGGACAATCAGGACTTGGCGAAGGGAATTTACGGCAAGACTCGGGGAAAGCCCAGATGGGAAGCCATATCAGTAGAGTTGAACAGCTTGGGACCACCACTAGGTTCATGGGAAAAGTGCTTAAAGGTGAAATAAATACATATTAAGCCCTAATTAACAAAATAATCGCGTATATTTTGATGCAGGTTTGGACAGATTTGAAGAGCAAGACGAAAAAGAAAATTTCGGAAAACAGGGTGGAGGCCCAAACAGTCTGCACATTTTACCTAAATACTCACTATCTACGCGTTTAAGCTGAAGTACCCTTTCCGGTTATAGTAAAAGTGTTGAAGATCCTTTTGGGGCAACGATTTTAATATGTGTCCCATCAATGCAACCTCTTACGCCTGGAATTCCACTTTTCTCAAAAAAAAATACATTTTCGCGTTTCGTTTCTCTTCATCAGTGTAATTCATATTTATCCAATTTTGACACTCGTGCTCTTCCAAATCATGAAACATTTCAGTCAAAACTAGGGAAACAGTAGATTGGCCAAGTCCAATATTGCTATCGTTTCCTACACTCTGTTGGTGGGATCCCTGAGCACAGAACCTTAAAGTCGCCACTAGTTTTAAAATTAGGGGTATCGAGGTTTTTCTTACACCAGCTTGAAGTTTGCTTTCCAATGTTTCAAGCAAATATGTAAATGCAGCTTTCGCTAAACGATAATTTTTCAAAAACCTGTAAAGTTGGTGGTATAGTGAATTTCTTGGGAAATTTTTAGTTATTTGTACAATAATTTTGTGGCGTGCAGCGAAAGAGGAAGGGGGTGTTGCACCTAAAACCCCATCCATTAGAAAGAGCCCTCTCTGACCCTTTTACAGACCCCCGGGGCCCGTTTGAAAATGGGGTAAAATTAGCACTTCGACATAGAAAATGTAAACTCACAGTATTTATGCACATAACACCTTCCACATTGGCTGCCTTAGGCCTGCTTTTAGAAAAATACCCTCATCAGTCCAACTCCGGACCACAGTATTTTTGGGCAAAACTACTTTCTGCGTAGGCGTTTACGGATTATAACTCTTAATAAGTATAATTCCCCTTTCTGTCTCCCCAGAGAAGAGGTGCGGAATCTCCGCTTATATTGTGAAAGATATTCAACATTTCTTGTGCATATAACTCCGGCTACGCCATCCACAGTGATTTTGCGCAGAACCAACATCAAAATTTACAAAAAACTCCATAATTTATTAATATCTAGTACTCGGAAATTTGAAATCTTTATTTTAAATTAAAGTTTAATTATTTCACTACACGCGCATGTTAAAGTTTTTAAATCGGGTCACCAAAATCGTTGTACAAATAACTAAACCGAATTGCTTAAACTAGTTGCGTTCCAAATGCTTCACGATTTGCGGGTTTTTACAGGTAGCTGTTCCACGGGGTCATCTTCCATTAGGTTTATTAATGGCGAAAACAGCTTTTCCTGCAAATCGTGAAGCATCTGGAACACAAACGCTATTCATAAAATTCTCATATGTATGTACATACACTTTATCTTCCAACTCCGAGGGATTCGACGAATCTCGCAATTTCCTCCTTGCTTTAGCCAACTCTACTAATCTTTTACCTTCCACATCATCTTCCTCATCACTAAACCATATCTGAACAGTATCCATTTTTTAAATTTTATAATAAAAGCAATTGTTTTAAATATGATGTAAATGAAACACTAAAGAAACAAGTGTAAACAAACAAACAGCTGTTTACAATTTTGTCAACCATTCACAATAGTACAAATTTTTATCGATCAAGTTACACAATAGCAAAATAAAAGATGATCGACTCAATCGACAAATTTCTATTCTACTGCCAGTCGACACTCGCAATAGGGGCGTAAATTTCTTACAATATCCTGAACTACAGTACGATCGGCAAAGGATAAACGTCTAGGCGCACTATAAAACGGCACATCAGTTGTTAAGTGAATCTTCATTTGGTATTCTACTGGTTCTACCCTAAGATCTTTAGGATTTATATACGAATCGAACACTAATCTACTTAATTCGGCACGCTGACTACAATTTAGCGCAAAGTCTATATCTTATCTATCGATTTCAATATTGAAGATGTCCGGCAATTCGACGCAGACCCGCCCGCTGGGACAACCATTCCCACTCGTACCGATCATGTCCCCGGATTTAATGTTATTAGGTGGCGCATAAGCTTTTAATACTATGTCTCCATTGAGAGATTTATCCATTAAGATTTAATAAATCAAGTTGCTAAATCACAACCGTCTCCATTACCACAACGAGATATGTTTGACGTTCACATTTTTAAATATTTGACGTTTGCTTATGTATGATTTTATAAATACAGTTGCGGACATTGATATACAGACAGATAAAAGGAAGGTACCAAGCGTAATTTCATTATATGAATTCTGAATATTATTGGCTTCTTATTCGTGGTAAATATGTATGTATAATATATAGTTTGGAAAGTGTAAAGAATGGTACCATATTCCGAATCATATTCCCGAATTTAAGAAAAATTATCAAAACGGTAAAAAACATTTGCGGAAAGAAACATTTTTGTANAAGATTTCGACCAGGTCATTCGACAAGGGAATGCAAAGAGTGTTCTTATGTATCAATAAATTGTCTTTCGTATATTTACGTTTTATTTTAGCTAAGCGTATGTTAAACTGCTTCAAAAAGTCTCGTCCAAAAATAACAGGTACTAACATTTCATTTTCTGGCAAGATATTTATTTTGATATTTGTTACTTCATTTTTAAATTTCACAGAACAAAGGACTTGACCCAATATTTTTAGTTTTAATACACCAATGCTGCGGTAATTTTGTTGTGGTCCTCTTAAAATTTGGCAATTATTCGGCACACACGATTGCTTCATAAAGCTAGTTGGACTACCGGTATCAAAAAGGGAAATGAATTTATTAAAGTTCGCACTCTCTTGTGGATTGGTCTCAAAAGCAATACTTACAAAATTGAACGATTCCAGCTCGGCGAGGTCGTCTTCGTAAACGGCAGCAACTGGTTGGTCGGCAATGGGCTTCAAAATTTTCCGTGGATTGGTGCATGAATGATGGTCGTGACCCATCTTCCAGCACCGGAAGCAGGACCCATTCGGACGCATCGGATACGGGCAGATTGGCTTTATGTGACCCCTCTTATAGCAGTTGAAGCATAGTGGCTGGCTGTTTTCTCCAGACTCGGCAGTAAGCTTATCAGCGGCTGACGGCTTGACGGGAACGGCTGGTTGCTTTGCGGCAGCGGCAGGCATCATACGTCGAACAGTATGAAAATTTGGCTTGAGGTATTTGGAATAGTAGCGATTCACTAGCCTCTTCAGCTCGTCCAGTGATTGTGCTGGCATAAGTAAATTTATATTGTTTATTTTATTCCCGATCCCATCAAAGATCAATCCGATGACGTCAGTTTCCTGGACACATCCACGTTTCGCCAGAGCCTGCATAGTCAATATGTAACAGTGCAGTGATTCATCTTGGGGCTTCCACTTCCTTTCGCTCAACATTCTGTAGACGTCGTGGCGAGTAACTGCACTGTCGAACTCATCTATAACTGCCTTCCTCAAATCATGATAGTTGAGTGCAGATGTCGTCGTTAAGAACACTCGTGCTATTCCATGTAATGAGCGACGTAAGCTTAACAATTTAAGCTGATCGTCCGCATTAACCGTACGCATTATTTCCTCGAAATCGTCGTAGAAGTGTTGAAGTGATTGTGCGGAGCTATCACCACTAAATTTTGGAACTGCGTGCTCAATGCCTGCGAATGAGGCTCTACAAGCACTTGGTTTGGCAATAGTAGTTTTCAGCTCATTTATTTGACATTGTAGCTCCAATATTTCGCGCTTCTTAATTCCGTAATCTGCTGGTCAAAATTATCAGCGACGTAGTCGTCACCGGCATTCGTAGGGCTGGATGCCGTGTTGTTAGCGGCAGCGGAAGTTTTGTCGCTGGTATAGCTATAGGCAAGAAGGTTTACGGAGGCAGCATTTTCGGCATTGGCGGTAATATCGGCATTGGCAGTAATATCGTCAGCGGCGGGGATTTTAGCAGCATTTTTAGCGCCGGCGGCAAGGCTAGAGGCGTCACGACGTTCGCGAACGGTGTATTCAGCAACGTTATTTAGGTTAGCGGCAGGGGCGCTTGCGCCGGCGTCACGGCATTCGCCAACGGTATTTTCGGTAACCGTATTTTGAGAATCTCGTACCTGATCATAGCGCGTGGCGTCGATTATGGTGGCACCGTTGTCTGGAGCTACTCCCTCATCCAAGTCGGATATGTTGTCGTCGTCCACCTCATTGAGCGCCTCATTTGTGTAGTGTTCGGCGTATAAATGCTTTAATTGCGCCACCGTAGCCGTCGCGGGAAAACCCACACTAGCCGCCATTAGAGCGTCGACTAGAAATTGTTTTGTTAACCGTTGTGGCATATTCGATTTTATTAACTTTATTTAACTAAATGGGTACTTGTACCCCACACCTGAAGCTGTAACGCAATTTTTTTTATTATTTATTTATTATCAGATTGTAAAAAACACAATTTAGATGGCGTGCTTCTATCTCGAATGTTCGCAGAGGAAATGAAGTGTTATGTTCACATTCACAATAGAATTATGTGCTGGAGGCGAAAAGGAATTGAAAGAAGTAGAGGAGAAAGGAAAGAAAAAGAAGTGTGATAGGCAGGGTTGCCATCGAGTAAGGCGGTTGCATACGGGAAAACAGCAATAGGAAAATGCTAACATATATTCCATAATTCCACGTTTAAAATTCAATGGCACATATTCATAGTCATATTTAGTACTCAACTAAGTCGAAACTATTCTAAGTCACAACTAAAGCTATTCATGGTCGCCTTAGTTTCGACTTTTCTGGCTAAGTACCAACTTAAAATTTAGTTTCGGCTGCAGCTGCAACTAAGTCGTAAGTAGGAAGAAGTATTTTATCAAATTAAGGGAAAACCGACGAAATATGTAAAAATTAAGTTGGTAGAGGGTGATTTTGATAATATTGAATAATCTCCAATTAAAATTTACAAAGATCGATCCATTTTAATCGGAAGATGGAATTAAATGTGTATTACAATTCGAATAAAGCTACATCACAATTTTATAATTCGAATAATTTAGATAAATTCTCAAATAATAAGTCAGTTTCACGCTAGTTCTTTCAAAGTAAATTTGTGCATAACATTTAGATATCTACTATTTGTATGTTTCACAGCATGCTTTCGATAAACATCGACTTCACATCACTGCGGTTGTTCTGGCTATTTCACACAATTAACATGAAAATGATACCATATTCTTTTGCATAATCATGCAATGAAAATAAAAATTACATAAACGGATGATCAAACTTGACATTATTTAATAAAAATATAATATTTCCAAACTATCGTAAAGAAAAATCGATACATTTTCACACTCGTTTTGCTATATCGTAAACTAAGTCGAAACTAATTAGTAGAAGTCTGAAATGCAACTATGAATAGAGGTAAATCTTAAGTTGGTACTTAAATTTAAGTTGCAACTTTGTTAGTTTCGACTTAGTTGCTGGACTATGAATACGCGCCAATAGTTTTATGATGTAAATGTTGCGTGTGGACTCAGCGTTAGGGTACGGTTTATGAATTTGTACAACGATTTTGGGTTGCTGTGCCCAAACGCGTGAATCGAATCAAAAACCTTTTACACAAACTTGTAGACAACAGTTCACGTCTTATTACAATAATTTAACTTACTAAATCTGTGCACTAATTTAACTATAATGTCGGTTGGAAATATGGTATTTGTTGCAAATTTCCGAAATATACGTACACTGATTACTCTTATTCTGCCTTAAAGCAGCCACTTAATATCTTTATTTTTATATATATATATTTACTTTACACATCACACTATTAGTTTTTAGTTGTTTTATTCCTTTAGTTGGAACTTATTCGTCGTGGAAAGTTGGTGTGGCTAGAGATACTATTCTATGCGAAGGTAATTTTGTTAATTGCATAAGATTTGCACCGTTCATTAGATTTTCAAAAATGAGGTGTTAAATGAAAGTGCTTGGCCTTTAGATAGAAATAAGTTTTTATTTTTTGAATAGGATTGCCACCTTTTTAAAAATTATAAAATCTGCACGGTTCGTTGGATTAAAAAAATAAGGTGTCAAATGAAAGGGCTGGACCTGAAGACGTACAATAAGGGTTTATTTTTTGAATAGAGTTTCCGCCTGTCTACAAAAGTATAATATTTACATCCTTCGCATGATTTTCAAAAATGAGGTGTCAAACGAAAGGGCTTGGCCTCTAGATATGAAATAAGTTTTTATTTTTTTGAATAGGGTTTCCACCTGTCTAACAAATTGTAATATTTACACTGTTCACCCGTAGGGTTGCCAGATTTTTTATGGGCAAAATCAGTACGTTCGACTTCCTCCTGCTTAAAAAATCAGTACTTTTCAGTACATTTTTATTAAAAGGAAAATTATGAATGTAAGTAACAGATAATGCTTTAAAACGCCGGAGAACTTGTTTTTGATATTTTGGTATACAGTAAATAAAATATAGTTCATAAAAAAGAAAAATTTTAATTCATTTTAACATGAAAGTATACATCATTGAACTCATAATCCAATAAATTGTTTTATATTTATGAAATTTTTTAATAATAATAATAATGAGATAATTTCCATTTTCAGCGTTTAAACAGTCAAAGAATTCAATACATTTCATTTTAAAATTACTTTTAATTTGAAGCTCACTTTAAAACATTTTAATTAGGAGCCGATTCCTCTCTTTCCGCCAGGAAGCAAACTATATAGATCCTCTCAGCGTTGCTTTGTTTGAGTGTGGTATTGAAAAAAACTAAATTACATATTTTTTCAAACTGTGGAAAAGTACCACTATTTAAGGACTTCATCTATATTTCCTCATGGCTTAAATTACTTTTTTCAACTAGTAAGTTAAAGGAAAATTTGTCGTTTTTAAACTGTTATTTATTTTCGAGATAACTAACAACCCACGAAAAAAAAATGCTAGCCTTCTTTTTAAATAATTTAAGCTCCATTTTGTTATCGCAACTGGTACGCAACGACACGACGATATGCCCGTAAAACGATTGATCTTTTTGTTGTATTAATTTTTTAGACATATCAAACATTATCTGAAACATGTCAACTATAATTAAATTATTTTCTTCTTACATTTTACAGTACAGTTTAAGGTGTAATATGTTTAATAGTTGTCAGTCTAGAAGCAACACTGCTGACTCTTATACACACGGCTAGCAACTTCGCCGACTAAGATGCAGCACTGTTAACTCGCCTAAGGACATATAACGAGTAGCTTGACAGACACTAGGTGCGTTGTTAGTCGTTCAACTACTGCCTACAGTAATACATTATAGTGGCGACAAGGATAAATCTAAACGCAGAATGGCGCAAATTTTGGGAACAATGCCACAGTTCGACCAAACCGATGGTGTTTGGAGTGTATTTAAAACACAAATGGATCAATTCTTTATCGCTAACGAGATTACAAATGATCTCAAGAAGAAAGCAATTTTGCTCACAGCATTAACGCAACAATCGTACGAGTTATTACAGAATTTATTAAATCCGCTAAAGATTGAAGATCCCATCACAAGCTTAAGTAAATGTGTGGAAGTTATGCAAAGGCATTTTAAACCATCAGCATCAGGATTTACAGAACGTTGTAAGTTCTATAATTCGGTCAAACAGCCAGCGGAATCAATTAATGATTGGAGTGTCCGCGTGCGGTCGTTGGCACCATGGTTGCCACTCGCCAACATTTTTTTCCTAAGAAAAGTTACCAAAAGTTACCAAATCTTCACTTCATCAGTGAGAAAAAAATATACTGAATAACACTGCTATATTTCATAACAAATATGTATATACTTACAGCCCGGTTCTGTGCACTTAATAAATTCAATATTTTTATGATTTGTCAATTTTTGATTATTTATCAAGAACTCCCAGTTCTAGCACAGAAGTTTAAATCTATTTTCTTGATAAATTATCAAGATTGAAAATGCTATTGACAATTATAATAATTTTTTTTTAATAGAAAATATTTTTCTATCAATTAATTACATGATGCTTTCCATTTCCAGACAACCGGTCAGGTACGAGCATGATTTTTAATTTCGGCCGAACTCAAATACATTGTTTGTTGGTCCAAATAATGAGACACGTATTTTTTCTTTTGGCTCGGAAAAAATTTTCGGCCGAATTAAACGCGATTTTGGTTTTCAGGCAAAAATCGATTATTCGAACTGACAGTGAGAATTTTTTTTAAATGCCCATAAATTTGTCAAAATTTAATAGATTCCAACAAATTCTTGTCACTTCAAGATAGAATGATATAATTATTGTGTTCATCGGGCAAAGATGGTTAAGAGCGCAGTTTTCGGATGTGCCGCAAATGGGTAATGGCCCAGCTTCAAGTTCGCACCGATGTAAATTGTATTTCAGGCCACCCCATATATATATATGTAGCTGGATGAGGCGATGAAAATTGGTGGCTGCAAGACGTCTACTCAAATGGATATTCGGTAAGCAAGTAAAATCCGTTCCTTTTCTTTTTAATCACGTTAGCCTTTCGAACGGCTTTTTAAGCGAGGGAAATTTTAACATAACTAGCGTTCGACAATAGAAAGCAGTTAACTGTTGTCTTATGTTCAA